CGCCACAGTTCTACCTTCAAGTGAAACCCTAATGGCTAAAAGCTCTTGTGTCTCCCTGACAGGCAGTGATAAGAAATGGCCTCATCCTTCAAAGCTTGCTCTAGTTTTTCTACAGCAGAAGTAATCATGTTATGCAATCGATCAGCCAGTTTTATCAAAACGGCCCTTGCATCTGCCATTGCAAGGAACATGGTATGTAATCGATTTGCCTCCACACCCTTGCTTAATTGACTTAATTTAGACACCTGAAAGAAACCCAACTAATTTTTAAGCATTTAATTCAACTAATCAATCCAATGCGAAACTGATCCATGGTAATCAACAAATTTTCGGATAAATCCTTCAGCATATTTTAATTAGATGTACAAGAGCCTCTCACATTATCACATCATATATTGCAACATAATAAGTTGCATCAATACATCTCCAAAGTCCTCATTGTCAAATTATAATATGTTTTTAATAAATATGCAATTTCATGTCAGCATCATTTTCCTTGCAAATAGTAATACTCAATCGTTTATCTATAAATGGAGTTAACAAAATAAATTACCAGAAGGGAAAGGGCAAGATAGAAAATTCATTTAGTTATATAGTAAAGAGATCATTAACATCTCTACAGACAAGGCAAGTTTGGGGAATAACAGATCATAACATTTAAACAGCACATCATTGTATAAAGCCTATATAGAATACATAACACAATCATCAGATCTATAGTGTGCCAAACCAAACCTAAAAAAACATAAATTCAGTACATTCAATTTCTCTTACCCCCTTCAACCAAGGTCGAACCAAAATTTGAACTCTGTGGAATGAGCGGTGGAAGCGCTGTCAAAAAATGGTGGATCTGCACCATGCAACGATGAGCGCAGCAACATCACTGACAGAGATGGATAGCAAGCGAAGAAGATGGGACGCCACTGCAGCCGGGCATCGCGCGCGAACGCTGCTTCGCTGCAGTCCGTTGCTTCGCTGCAGTTTGTGGCAAAGAGAGAAGAAAAGGAGAAGAAAGAGCTGAAACACTGAAATGGGTGATTTAGGGAGGAGAGAGAATCGGGTGATTTAGGGGTTGGGTGGAGTGGGGTTGGTGGGGTGTATATAAATTAATTTTTAATTTTATAATATTAATTAATAATCCTATTTACCACCCGATTTTTTAATTATAAACTTTATCCCCTTATTTTTGAATTGTAATCATGAAAAGATGGGATTTGGGTAATTTTCTCAAAAATGAGG